TTAGCACTCCTCAAAAACTTGAATAGCTTCATCTTATCGTAACCTACAAGCATTTTATATACAAAATTCTCAGAAATGAGGTGTTTATATATATATATATATATATATATATATATATATATATATATATATATATATATACATATAAAATCTGGTAGATAAAATTTAAATAATTAAAAATTTGTTCATAATTTGGTTTACTGGTGATTCCTTTTTTCACGGAATCATATCTTTATCTTTTTTTTTCATTTATTGAAATTTATTTTTGTATAAAATAAATACAGCAAGTAAATTTGTAATAAAAAAAACAAGAAAAACACTAAAATCTTGTGATGAATCTACCCATTGGTAGCACTCCAATGATTAAGTTAATTCAGAAGGTCCCTCGGCCACCTTCTTTTCATACGCGTCGGAGGGTTGTCAGAAATTGCTGCTGGTATTATGATACAGAGGGTTAACGTGACCATCTAATTCGGAATCATATGAGCAATACCTGATTCGACCCAAATCTACAACAAAGGGAATATTGAGGACTTTATGGCTAATGTTCCATTGTGGATAATTTTATGGATGGGATATCGGCTGTATAAACTCTGTAGAGGATGGGATCTAGGATGTCCTTTGAGAAATACTAGCGGATTGGGAAAAGAAAGACGACTACGCAGAATCTCTTTGTAATTTAATCAATTGATTTACATTATTTTATTTTGAACTGATCAAAATCAAACAGGATTGAACGATAATTTTTTTTTTCACATATTCTATTTTTAATAGTTGTGGAGGCTGGAAAGGAACTCATAATCAAAAACAAGTGAGTGGGATGTCTAAATGAATATTGTGGCTATGTGCTTGTATATCCTATTGATGAAATAAATTAAAATTTATCTTTTATGAAATAGAATGAAGGTAACAGTGTTTTAATTGGTACTTTTGGTTTGATCACAAAGTTTTTGTTTTTTTATTAAATAATATTACATTATGCCTCAATTAGAGATCCACCTATATCGAAATTTTGGCCGGTACCGATATTAAAAAGGCCGAAGTATCGGCAAAATCGGCTTTTTTTCCCCTTTTCTTTAAGGTTTGCACAGTTTCACATGGAATATCCTACGCATTGCTAAATAAAAGAATTAATAGAAAATCTACACATCGCCTTATACACACATTTTGACCGATAAAAATGAGATAACCTATATTTCTGCATATCGGCCTTTCGTTCCTATATATCTGGTTTCGAACAACGTCACATAGAAAGTTCGATCAATCAATCATCTAGGGCTAGATCTATATATTCATTTCAGCCGATACCAATATTCTAAACACTGATATATATATATATATATATATATATATATATATATATATAATATATATATATATATATATATATATATAACGCACACTTTTTTTTTGATCCTGCTCTCCCCAAAATTTGAGCTTATACCAATATTCCAAATACCTTTACATTTATTGCTCATAAATGCGTCAATCAATATTCAAGAGATGGATATAAACATAAAATTGAGCAAAGGCCGATTTAATGCCCTTACGATCTTATTTTATAGAGATTGGCAGATTTAGACCATTTTTTATAGTTTTTTTACTGTTTTTTTTTTGTCCCTTCCTTCCCCTAATTAAAGCAGATACCGTTATTCCAAACACCGATATATCGTTCTTACCTTATTTTATCAAAATTGGTATAGTTTAACCACCTATTTTTTTTTTTATTCTCATTGGCCTGATATATCGGTCTTACGATTTTAATTTATCGAAATTCATAAAGTTTAATTTGGCATATTATTTTTATTGTGAATAAATGTGTCAATCGATTGTCAAAAACATCCAGTTGAGCAAAGACCGATATATCTGCCTTACGACCTTATTTTATCGAGGATGGTGGAGCTTTATTTTTTTTAATTTCATAAATTTTTTTGGTCCATCTGTTCCCCTACTTTGAGCTGACAGGCAAAACATGATATTCCAAACAATGATACATCGTCCTTATAACAATATTTTATCGAGATTCAAACTTGGAATATTAGTTTTATTTCTATAAACGAGTCAGTCAATCGTCATACATTTAGTATCCGTATTTGCATTATGATTTTAAAAGAGAATATATTGTGATTGTTTAAATATTTAGCTTAGATCAATCCATATAAACAAATATGATCCAAAAAAAAAAAATTCCATTTGGGGGAAGGGCTTTCGGGATAAAGCCCCCTGCCTCTTATAGACCCCCCATTGATCTGAATCCTCTAAGATATATGATTTGTTATTTAAAATAATTATCTTATTCAAATAAAAAAAAAAAAAATTATATTCAAAACACCGCAGCAAAGAAAATTTCAATCACTTCCCCACTTCAAACCTTTGCCAACTTATCATCCACTTTTCCACTTAAGTTTGGTGTATGGGAATATTGAATTAAGTGGTTCAAATTATTTTCCTTCATTAACTTTGCATCTTGTATTTCTCTATTTTCCATATTAGGTTACCTCTGAACAGTCATTAGAAATGGAACCTATTTTTTCCCTTGATTTCTAAAACATAAAAAACTGAAAATTTTCGATTCTGAGAACAATTTGTTTTTTTAACCTCCCGCAGGAATACAAAGCTTCTCTTTCTGCGATATAAATGAAGCATTGAGGGAGCTTACGAATTATGACCACAAAAATTGAGTTATTGGTCACTATGTCACTATGACTCTTTCAAGTCATCCAATCTCACCGTCCTTCATTCATCTCCGAGCTCCTTGAATCCAATCCTCTGTTCGTTCCCGCAATACTCGTTCCCGGTCTTCTGATTTATAGATAAGGGCCCACCGAACTGCTGCTTTCGACAGATCTTTCATTATCCGATCCTCATCCCTATGGAACTCCATCCCTCCCGACATCCGTCAATCCAAAACTCTTCCCACCTTTAAAACCCGCCTGTTCAATCATTTCTTATCCATCCAGTCCCCATGAAATTGTAAATAGTATACTGTAAATATGTATATAAATTATCAGATCGTTCCTCATTATTTCTTACTTTATGTTTATTTTCAATTTTTCATTTTTTTATTATTATTAACTGATTTAAATTAGAAAGTAACTTATAATTTTTTTATTATTTTTTTTTATTTGACTATTCACTTACTCTATATTTTTGTATCTCTGAGGCTCCTTAGCCCACATTTTTGCTTTTCTGTATTATTCTAAAGGGACTCGTCCCAGAATAAATAAAGCATTATTATTATTATTATTATGTACAATGCGGCTTAACTAATGACATTAACTCTCATTAGCTCAACTAATTATGATAAATTATAATTTTCCAAAGATTATGTATTTGGCTATGGTATTATTTTAAGCCATAACCGCATAAGGTGCTTATAGAACCCTGATTTTAATGTTATACATCCGTGTTGTGTAAGTGACTTAAAATAGGAAAGTTTTGGCTAGTTACGTTTGTAAACACTTCTTTATAACAACCTTTTTTTTTACTTTCACTTACGTATATATGTAACATATAGTAAGGGTAAGTATTGCGATCGAGAAAATTTTTGAATCTGAGTTTTCAACGGAAATACACGTTTTGAGGTACCCTGAGTCGAAATGACCAGACCGAAAGATGGTCTGTGTGAATGTGTGTCTGTGTGTTGTATGTTAGCAGTCTAGCTCAAAAACGAAAAGTCCTACGAAACTGATATTACGTATTTAAGATAGGTATATGCCTTAGATGTGACGGCAACTTTTTCCTTAAAATCGGCTAACCGGAAGTGCCACTTTATATCAACGCTGAAACACATTTTCACAATTTTCTCAAAAACGGCTCAAACGATTTTGATTAAACTCGGTGTATCATTGTATAATTAAGTGGTCTTTAATATCAATTAGGTCTTATCCCCATTGATGTCACTTTACAGGGCTTAAATGCCCAATGTTCATATACGTCTTCCTCTAAAGTACCTTTAATATGGTTTATTTTAAAAAGTTAATCATTTCACATTATTTAAAGTTACGAAAAAATGCTAAATATAACTTTTGAAAGAATTTGATAAGTTAATAAAGGAGAAAAAAATAAAAATGCAGAAAAACCTGCGTTGCTATAGACTGTAGTGCCTAAACGAATGTACCGATTTCAATGAAACTTCGCTAAAGTCATTTTCTCGACACCCTTTAAATTTATCTATGTAACATACTTCAACGAAAAGAAGCTGGAAAAAAAGTTACGAGGGATGGTAAAATTAAATTCCGAATAACTCAAAAAGTATACACTTTTTTGGGATATTGTATGTTTTTTTAAAAGTTTATGGAATTTCCAAAAAAATCAAAAAAAAATCGTTAAGATCGGACAATTAGGAGGAAAGATATGGTCTCTAGTTTTTTCTCTGAAGAGGCGAAAATTTGAATAAATTTAAAATATACTTTTTTAATTGTTGAGACTAAAAAAAACTTTTTTGTACAGATATTTAATAAGGTATCTTTCCTTAGAACATTTTTCATAAGAAATAAGTACCTAAATTTATACCTTGATTCTCAGTCCTATATTTCAACACGGCAATTACCACCTCCGGAATCAACTTACTCATATTCTGCATAGATAACTTTTTCAACTAAAAATATCACTAAAATGACATCACTCAAAAATGTTGAAATTGGAGTTAGTCATTCGGAAGTTTATAAAAACAAAGAAAGTTGTGCGGTTTATAAAAGCAGATGGAGTGACTACATTTTTATTGCCTACCGTCGATGTAATAAATAGACTTTTTACAATTTTCAAGGTCTTAATGACTTGTTATCTGTAAGCTTTAGCTCCGTTTAAAACGCGCAGAAAAAAATTTCTATTCATAGTAGATCGGTAAGTGAAAGTTGTGTGTTGCGCGCACCAGATTTTTTCTATTTATAGCGGCATAAGGAAACAGTGATAGACAATTTATTTTCGGTTCACCTCAAAGTACAGATATTTTAAATTTTGAAATATTGCATTTTTTTTTTTGCTTTGGACAGTTTCAGTTAGGAGTTGTCGCTGATAGCGTTATCATAGGTCAAATAGTTTCTGGAGCAGCTCCCCAAGAGTCCTCAAGTAGATTGCGGTTAATTGTTGGAAGAGAGGCTGGGAAATGCATCGAAGCGCACTCACCTCCGGCCCCGTGCTTTCATCCTCGGGTTTAGAAAGCCTTACTCCAGTGGAGGGGGAACTGGGTTAGCTGCAACACTGACCATTCCAGCCGGCACACCACTCCCAGCCTCCAGGATGATCGTCCGCCTACTTCTTCTCTGCTCTCTGTCCCTCTTCGCTGCCGCAGCTCCAGGTATTGTATCATTTAGTAGTCCTTCGCCGAATCTTAGTTCAGGTTAAAGGGGATGCATTAACATGTCTTAATTACTGGAAACTGGATTTATCCCGAATTTGAAATTTTAAATGTATATATAAATCCCTAGTGTTATTTATAGGTGAAAGAGTATAGAAAGGAAGAAATTATAATATTGTGATCACAACAATGCTTTAATATTTATTATTAAATTTAATAATGATTATTATTACAAATAATATAAGAAGCGGAGTAGCTCAGTGTGTAAGTCAATTCGCTACTATGATCTGGGTACTAGATTTGATTGTGGTAGGTCATTATTTAACTTGCTCCATCAGCCGATAATTGATCCAGGAGTCAGATAATCCTCCTAAGGGATTTCCAGTCTCTACAAAAGATATACTATTAATTTGAAAAAATAATTGAGGAAAAAACTGGGCGATTAAGCGTGATATTGGCCTAATCATTTCAATGCTCCTAGTGTTGTAATCTATAAAAGTTTTATTATTAGTTTACAGTTCGTATATATAATGTAAATAGTATTTTTATTGGTTACTTTTCATAAAGATATTGCTTGTTTTTTTTATTTTTTTATTGAGATTCTTAGAAACAGTGGGAAAAGGAAGATATATTGAAATCCATTACTAACATACATTTATTTAATAATAAGATTTTTCGAACAAAAGCTTACTGTTACTGTTTTGAACAATTTTAGTTTTTCAATACCCATACGAAGAGACAAATACAGAAGTTACATTTCATAATTAGGTCTAGTTTCCAAACAATTAATAAAATAGTAGATGTTCAGTAAAAAAAATAAAAAGTAAAAATAAACAAGTGATATTTATTTTTGCCGATGTTTACGGGAATCTTCTGTGCGATCATCCCTGATGAAAGCCTGAAACTTGGGCCGAAACGTCGGCAAAACACTCTAACCAACTTCTCTTAAATTTTCACTACAGTCAACCATCAATCCACTATGATAAAATAATACTTCCTTTATTTTTACTATCAGTTTCCCGTTATTGATATGATCGCAAATTAGTAATATAACTAAAACGAGAAATTAAAATTGGGGAGGGGCTTTCGGGCTGAAGCCCTCCCACCTAAATGGACCAAATTATATATGACCAAATTTACGAAAAAAAAAATTTCTAAAAGTATTATTGTTCGTGTAATTACATTTAATATGACTTCAAGAATCACTTAAACACCATTTCATAAAGATAGATAGTTTCTTTCTTTCTCTTCCGAAATAATTATCGTTACATACAGAGTATTCCGTAAGTAGATTGAAATATTTAAAAAGTTGGTAGTAGACATCAAGATCTTCAAAAAAGTTCATATAAACAATTACCCAATTTCCAGTAGAAAAGTAGGAAATTTAAGATTCATGTTTTTTTTTTTCAATCATCTTTGAAGTTTTGAAGGCCATGTTAATACTTTTTATGACTAATACCAACATGGTCTTGACGTTTGTTGGGAAATTTGTTAATCATTAGTTGATTTCTTTTGTATGTGAATATAATACAATAAGGAAAGATCTACTTGTTGTTGGCTTTAGATAAATACAACAATAAAAACAAATAAAATAATATTCTTTGTATTATTTTTATGTCTTAATAGAGAAATAGATTAGAGAAAATCTAATAATGAAACAGATAAAATGTGTTATTAATTAGATAAAAAGTTATTCCGCAACCTACAATACATTTATAGTCATATCTTATTCATGTTCTTAGGTTTTCCTAGGTCTACCAAGAATACCTAACATTAATAAACACACACAAATGTCTATGTACATTAGTGACATTTATTGTTTTATCAGGATATGTGTTTGACTTAGTTCCAACTCTCTTAAAGTTCCCAACATACAAATTGAATGAAGTTAATAAAACGTCAGTAATGTGTGTATCCTAAATAGTCCGTGGTACAGACCTCTTTTTATCGAATTATGAACATCTGCCTGAAACTTAGTACATAGTTTCATCTAATCGTAACCTACAACTTTTCTATTTACGAAAACTCTTGGAATTGGGGCGTTTTCAATCTGGAGGGGGGGGGCAAACTTTGTCTATTTAATTAGGTACTCAAAGCTCGTAAATAAACATTTGCTTTCTATTTGGATCGTAAGATAATTTGATCACAAAGTCGAGAAAAAAGGTGGGCTACAAAAATATTGGGACGTTTGATGTGATCTACACCCCCAAATTAAAAAAAATCAAGAATATTTTTGTAGGGTACCTTTTTTTCTGATTTTGAGATCAATTTATCTTACGTTCCAGATCCAAGTAGAAAGCAAATATGTATTTCCGAGTTTTTACTACCTAATTAAATGAACAATGTTTGTCCCCCTCCAGATTGAAAACGCTCCAATTCCAAGAGTTTTCGTAAGTAAAATAGTTGTAGGTTACGATGAGATGAAACTATTTACGAAGTTTCAGGCGGATGTAGATAATTCGATAATAAGGGGTCTATATCACGGACTAAAAGAGGGTAAAGTATACCTGCCCCGTCAAAATATTGAGAAACCGGAAAGCAACCAGTAATAGCATGTATTACTATATGATATGTGCTATGCTATGCTATATGGTCTATATGCTATTCACCACCAGGATAGCATATAGCTATCATCCCTCGATCGAAACGACTTCAACCTATTCTTAAACTCTCAAAAGACAAGAAACATGGGAAAATTAACAAGGTAAACATTTTTTAATTGTTAATTTATAAATTACACCTACGTAACTAAGATTCTTCATGGTTTACCACTTTTACAGGTGGTGTACTCTAAATTAGGGTACTTCAGGACGAACCTAGAAATTTGATAAGTGCTAAAAATTGCTTTGTACGATTCATCTTCGGGATCACATCGAGCGTCTATATCTCCCGATTTTAAGTGGATTTATCCTTTCTACCGTCGAAAGTGTTTCCTAGCATCCGTCCTCTTCCAAGATATCCAATCCGGCTGCCCATCATACTTCTCCGAGCTCCTTCAACACAAATCCTCAGTTCATCCAGCACCGCACCTTGTGTTTCTACTCGTTGCATTTTAAAGATCTTATTAGAAGTTTTGACAAAAATGTTTTGTAATTTTTTTTTCTCTTTAATTTGTTTAATTTGAATGTTTCGTCCCATTAATGGTCATAACCAAACTATTTTTAAAAAACTACTAACTTGATTTCATGGCGTTGTTTTGGAGTCATTCTTTTTTTATAACTTTTGTCTTATTCTTTAAAATTAACTTAGTTATATAGTTTAATAATATAGTGCCAACGTGCGATATTACAATCACGCCTGAGGATCGTGTGATGGACGTTTGAGATGTAAAAATAATAACAAATAAACATATTATAAAAACAAAACAGTCCAAAAAAAATCGATAAAAATTTTTAACCCTTAACATAAAACATATAATTTAGTTTTTAAAAAATTATTTGATCACAATTAAACTGGATCAAGTTGTCTTCCGGTTCTCCATCGGACAAACGCATAGTTTTCCTGAAGTTTGGCAATAGTGTTGTTGAATTTTATTACGTGACGTTATTCAATATATCGCACTGATTTGAATATTCTACTTATCACTACTAGTGTTGCCAAATCTGTCTTGGTCTTGACCGCCTAACTGTTGCAAAATCAAGACCAGGACTGTTAAAAAAACAAATTCGATATTTTTAATAAAAATTAAGGCAAAATAGTTACTAATACTCGACAATCTTAGTTAGTATATGCTAATAATTGGTATAACCAATATTCTTTTGCATTTAACTCCTCTAATTTTTCATTCGGGTTTAGTTAGTTTTCTCCTATCTAAAAAATTACAGTAATATCTTTATAGTAATAAGCTAGTAGGAATCTGCAAGACTCTTGCGCAAGACCAAGACCATGACCAAGACTCGTCTTGGTCTCGCATTTGGGCAACACCAATCACTACGACAACACGCAGGTGCATAATTTTCATGGCGGTGTATAAACTGTGCTCTGATATTACACTGAATCGATCGTTTCTACTTATCTTACTTGTCTAATAAATCGTAAATAATGTTCTATTTGTCTTTAATAAATACCCACTCGGTTGGTATTGAGGAGTTATGTTAATAAAAACTTTTAAAAAATGTTACCGCTCCACTGAGTCAAAAGATAAATTCGTATTATGTGAATATTTAAGATGGTCACGCCTTCCTCTGCCACTCTCTAACAGGACAATTCAAATTATTCTTTAAAAAAAATAATAATAATAAATTTATAAAGATCATACAAACGTGTTATTCATTTTTTATAAATAAGGAAGGAAATGGTCCGAGGTGTCGGTCATAAATAGACTAAATACTGGCCAAACTATTTTATTAAAAGCCAACGACCCAATTTTGCAGGTCTTCTTCAGGGTTAGAACGGACAAGATACAAAAAGATATATAGAATTGTGGAAGTTACATAATATTTAGATGAAAAATTATAAACAATGTGAATAAACTTATTAAAATTATAAACAGTTAGTACATTAAAATATTAAGAACAAGACTATTAAAAGTATTCTAAGTAGCAAGACCATAAACTGAAGTAAGTAGATGGTAATAATTTTTGTAGTATAATATATAATATATGCAATCGTGAATATACTTAGGATCTTGTTACTTAGCTTACTCTGTTTATATTTTAATGTACTTACTGTTCATAATTTTAATAAGTTTATTCACATTGTTTATAATGTTTTATCTAAATATTATTTAACTTCTACAATTCTCTATATCTTTCCGTATCTCGTCCGTTCTAGCCCTGAAGAAGATCTGCAAAGTTGGGTCGAAACGTTGGCTGTTAATAAAATAGTTTTGCCACTATTTAGTCTATTTATGACCGTCAC